AGGGAGGGAGGGAGGGAGGGAGGGAGAGAGAGAGTTATAGAAGAAAGGTCGGTGGCTGGCTTAAATTTATGGGTTGGGGAAGGCTGGTAACTATAGGCGGCCGTATGCTTTCATGACTTCGTAAGGCCATCGGGATGGGGTAGGGATACAACTCTCCCATCTCAATCCTTCAACAATTTGGAATTTGAGTTTCAATTAATCTCTCTCTTTTTTATGTTATTAGTGTTGTTTATTTAATTATGTTTGTTTGGCAGAGTTCTTTCATTTTATTAATCGTAATTAAGGTAAAAACGTAACGTTTTTAAATTTGCAAATACACAATACCAGGATTCATAATTTATTTTAATATAAATTGAAATATATATAAATTAAAGAAGAAAAAGGCAAAAAAAGTCTTTGTTTTTAGGGAGCCGTCGTCGTTTACTCACAGTTAAACTGAAAATTTTGAAACGACGGAGGCGTTATTTTCGGCATTAATTGGACTTTGAAGTTGGAATATTAAAGCCGCCAATTAATAATTTTAATTAAAAGTATTAAGGACTATAATTGTCCATGTGAAAGACGTAACTTCCAGTACACGTTTTCGTTTGACCATTCAAACACCCCCAGACTTTTGGGAACCGGAAAACTTCCAGATTGCATGGCCGACGGCCTTTTACCAATCCCATGCAAACAAATCAAATCATGCAAAGATAAATCACAGGAATCTTCTTTTGAAAATCAAAGCAGCTAACTTTGACAGAATTTCATCGTTCAATATTACGATTTGATGATTTTTTTTTATTTATAAGTGAAAAATTTTAAATTTGAATATTGTAGATAATGAATTTGATTCCAAATTAGGTTATTCATTATATGGCTTAATCGAACTCTTACATTTTCTAAGTGTAAAATATATTGTTATACTAAAAAAAACTTTGACCAAGTCAATCTCCCAATTATTTTATTCCCTTACCCCTTTTCATGAAATTCCATGCATAATAAAATAGGAAACTTAGAGGAAATAAGGATCCGAAAACTCTATTATGCTACGGTGTATGACACGTATCAAATGAATGAATGTGTAGCTAAGAATTTAACAACTAAAGATCTAATGGCTAAATTTTTTTACGTATACTATATATCAGTGCACACTAAAAATCCTAAAAGTAAACATTATAAAAAATTTCTCAGCTATTGTTGCAGTGATTTTCGGCGGTGATCTATATTCACCTTCCAGGACCAGAATTCAAATTTGTATATGATGTTGAGTACTTTGTTTTGTTCGGCTTTAAGCAAATTATAAGGGATTTAGATCCGAATCCCATCAATTTTTCTACCCTATATGACACTCCATTTTAGAGCAGTTCCACCGTGGGAAAGGCCCCCTAGGCAATACACTATGCTATCCACCCAATGAACAGTAACTGCCCTTAATGAACAGTAACCATCTTTTGCATCTTCACCGTTGCACTTCAATTGCCCTGGCAATAGACAATAAAATATTAGTATTTTTTTTTATTCATAAAATAATACCAAGATAATTAAAAAAAGACAAAGCAAAAGCAGCATCTTTCTCTCTCTGTTGAAATGAACACCAAGTAATCGACAAACGGCGGAAGCCACCACCTGTGGCTCCTCTTCTTCTTCACCTTCTTCACCCTCACTCTCATTAGCACCACCATTCACCAAACCCTCCCCACCTCCTCCCTCACCCCCACCTCCGTACTCCCCCTCCGACCCACCGTCCTGGACGCACTTCTTCACTACACCATTTCATCATCAAACACCTCGTCAACACCCCACATGTCCCCGCTGGAACTCACCTCCATATCCTCCGCCCTCACCCACCTCTGCGCACCCAACTGCAATTTCCTCGTTTTCGGCCTCACTGATCCAAAACCTGACAGAAAAAAATTAAAAAAGGCGTATGACGTTAGAACCACCTCAGGCTCTCGGACTGGCACGAATCCACCGCCCTGGCGCTCGAGCCTGCTCGGGCTCCCTCGCCAGCCAACGCTGGACTTCCTCCCTCGGGCAATCAGGCCCTATGCTGAAGCATGTCCATCGGGCAAAAGCTCCTGCTGGAGCTGCTCTTAAGGATTGGATTGTCTGCCCTTCCCATCCCATACTCTTCTCATCCCCTCCTATTTATGTGATCACAGTTAAGTCACATCAACATTTTATATTGATTTTTTATAGAAATAATAAGACAAAAAGCAATGAGAATATAAAATGTTGACGTGGGTTAACCACGACCACAAAAATATAAATGGATAAAAAGGGTACGGGATGGATCAGGAGGACAAACAATCTAGATCCCCATTTTAGATACAGATTAGAAGTGATGAGCGTGAAAAGAAACTGTTCGTAATCCGTGCAAGTAAATCAGCAGCTGACAACAAGGCACGGGTCCCTGTATTAATATCTACACAAAAAAGAAATGGTGTTGGCCCTCTTGGAGGCTGGGGCTAATAAAGCATTGGCGTGTCAAACATTCCAAAATGGGATGCGCTTACACGCATCTCGCCATTGTCAAGTCATCATCGTTCGTTTTTTTTTGTTTGTCGCAATCATCGTTCGTACATGACTTAGTTTATTTTACTTTCTTCAACAAAAACTATTTCACTAATGGCTTCCAAACAACATTTTTGAAAAATGTGTATGTAGGTTGAATTTAAAGAACGAGAATCCTCTCTGAATTCTTCTTAGGGTTGTGATTTTGCACACATCTTTAACTGCTTTTTCCACACTTCTTCCTATTTTTTAATACTTAATTGGTATCCTATTATTTAATCTTTCATATATACCCTTTCTACTTGTTGATGGTAATTAATGAAATATTAAATAGGGAGGGGTATATATGGAAGATTAAATAGTAGGATACCAATTAAGTATTAAAAAATATGGAGGGGTGTGGCAAAAGTAGTTAAAGATGTGTGAAAATCACAACACTTCTTTTTATAAGGATTTTGAAATTTTTTTAATTGTGTCTATTTATCGTACATCGTACGTTTTCGTTAAATACTATTTATTCAGTTTGAAATAAAAGAATTTACAATAATTTTTTATCGTACGATATATGATAAATGGACACGATTGAAGAATCTCCAGGATCTTCACAAAAAGGATCCGGAGAGGATCCTCATTCGAATTTAAAAACTAGTGAACTTGAGCCTTTAATGAATCATTTTAATTCTTGTTATACTCTTCTAATTTCTTAAAATGACATTATTGATTCTTCTACACTTTATTTTCTCCATTGGAAAACAAAGTAAGCACACCACTTACCACTACAACTATTAACCTTACACCACCACCACAATACCACCACCACTGTTGCCAGCACCACCACAACAACAAACAACTGCCACCACAATCACAACCGTCACCATTGCCGCTATCATAGCCTCTTACCATTATTACCTCTACACTCCAGCCACCACACCCCACCCCACCCCACTCCACAATTACTGCAACAGCACTGCCCCACCCCACCCCACCTCCCAACAAAAAAAAAAACTCATGGCTACCGCCATTGCCGTCACCACCTACGACTACAACCACCGACCTTACACCATTGCCCACATCACCGCAACCATTATTGCCACCACCAACAACGCCGCCTCCACATCTAACACACCCTATTATTGGCACTGTCACCATAACTACACCATTGTCATTGCCACCATTGCTCATACCACAATTGTCGTTGCCACCACCCCCACTACTATGCCCACTTTTTAATTATATATAATTATCACTTGTATATTATAATTTATCAAACATTTTTACACTGTTTTTCATACTCACATTACTTTTAAAATATAACTTATCAAAAACTTAACTATTTATTTTATAGCTGATTATTCTTAATTTAGAAAACATAACAATTTCAAACTAGCCCTCAATCACAACTTAAAATCAAAATTATTAAATTCATTTTAAGTCGGAGTTGAGATATTTTCGAATTAGAGTTGAATTAAAATGTCAGTTTACTAAGCCATGTGGATTTACTTGTCAATATGCAAAAAGCGACGTGACTTCGACTTGTCAATTCGAAAAATCAACCGGGAAGGATAAAAGAAAACAAAATTACAAAATCCCTCATTATCACGGAATGGATGGAACATAAATACTAACATGCATGTATTTTTTTTCATGTGAATGAAATATAATACCCAATTACTTGGTGGTGGTGGACTGGTGGTGAACCCCAATTTTCCGTTCGAATGTAAAATTTGGTGCCCGTGGTCCTAAAGCATAACGAAAAAAGTTAGAAGGCAAGGGTAAGGGCAAGGCTGAGGCTCTTCCGCCAGTCAATGCACCTGTCTTTGCTCCAATTGGCAACTTTTTGTATAAAATTGTGGACATACTGCTTTATTCAACTGGTGTACCTTACATTTTCAATTTCAGGTGTTAAATTCAAAAGACGAATAGTGATTCTTAACAATTGCTCCAGCGTACTTAGATGAAACTTTCTTGCAAAGAGATGGCATATGGAACTCACGCCACCATTGCAATTACAATTAAATCCGTCTCTTAACCGATTGAGAAACTTTGCTGTCACGTCCTTCAGTTCCATCCCTTTAGGATAATTGGGGACCCTTTTTACTTTCAAGCTGTGAACGCAATTGGGTTAAGAATCTTTTTCAAGGGAATTGGCAATGGACCAAAGCACCGAAAAGAAGCCTCAAGGAAACACTTGCATGGGACGAGCGTCTATGCCCTGTGTTAATCTCACTCGTCAAGTGAGTCGTGACCATGATGCGAGAGAGACACATAGGCGTGTAAGCCCGTCCTGCCAACCAAGGTTTTTCTCGGGATCTTGGTAGTCTGACTTCGACGGAAGAATGTCACTGGTACTAAACAAAGAGAGTTGTACAATTTTGACATTTGAGATTTAAAAATTTCATATGCTTCTCATCCCGAGTACGCTAAGATACAATTACAGCCTCTACATTCTAAAACAAGTCTAATTTGGAACGAACCTGCTTTTAAACAAGTAAAACACAGCAAAGCTAGCCACTGCCCTGGCAATAAGAACCTGAGGTTTCCATGGCTTCCAACAATTTAACCTGACACCACTACTTAAATATGCCCCAATCCATCGAGAGAAGAAGCGCAGTCTACAAGATTTTTGAAACTTCTGAATCGAAAATTCCTGCACGAAGTAATGCAGCAAGCTTTGATAAGCCCCATGTGAGTTAATAACCAACATTGGAAATATTGTTTAACTCTTCGATGCTAAATTGATAAGGGTACAATGATCAAATAACAAAAAAGATCATCTCTCTGTAAGTAACATATCAGACCGGAAAAACGGATATGATATAATTCAATTCACAAACATTCAAGATTCTGTGTCTGGGCTTTGTATATTTCAAGGATTCAATTAAGCTGCAAATGGAGCTTCATCAACGAATTTTCATGTTAAGTTATATCCAAATAATCATATATCATTTCGGGCGAAAATGCAAGTTTAGTGATCTAACCTAAAGGTAGTTTGTGAAAGGGCCAAAGAGAGAGCAGCTTCCTCACTTGGGCTCATAATTTCCCACCTTGGTAAAGAATGCAGCCAAACTGCTATGGAAAGTTTCTAAAGAGAATCCCTGCACACCTTAAAGGGAATTGTTTGAATTGGAACTTTATATGTATATGCTTCAAGAACAATGTGTCTGGCGTTCACCAAATCATCAACCTACGTGCATGTTAAAGTTGCATTGATGTAGGACCAAGTTAAAGATTACGTCATGAAACCAGGAAAATGTTACCTTTGGTAACTTATCTTGCTGGGCAAGATGATCCACATGAAGCCTCACATTAGATGCACAATGAATCCAAATGCTACGATCAATCTCCGAATATACAGTGGAAACTATGTCAAACAATGTTTCTGCTCCATTTTCTATCGCTTTCAAGACAGAACTTTCTCTAGCTCTGCGATTCCTGAAAGGTAAGACTCCTCTGTCTGAATACATCTAATATGGTGCCATGATAATCCTTTTCTGAATTATAGTTTTTAGGCCAAGAACATTGATGATGATTTTACTGACATACAAAACAGGGGGAAAAGGAAGAGAGAGTTTTATACTTGAGATATCCACAAAGCATGTGCTTTGGCCATAGGTTAACTCTCCCATGCATGGGGACCAAGGCATGTGGGGAAAGCTCCATGAATTTGTAAGTTGATTGAAAATAATCCTGTGTTTGAAAAAAAAATTATGGTTATACGTATGTAATTATGACAACGGGAGTAAGCTAGACCACCATAGCATGTGGCATACCAATAACCTCTGCTTTATAAAGAAAATTAACTTAAAGTAATATACCATCAATAGGAACTTACAGTCATATTTCCCCCACCAGAAACATCCAGTACAGCACTACCTTGTCTGCAACAAACCAAAGTTATTTTTTTCAGCAGAGCAGTCCCAACAGGTAAAAAAGTCGGAGCTATTATAAAACCTAATTTCGAGAACCAAAACTGAAAAAGAATAGGAAACTTTGGGGGATAGGCAAAGCTAGAAACATAAACCGACCTAAAAAAGTAAACAAGACGGCACAGATATTTTCTATTGCTGGTGTAAGTGCAAAAGAGGAAAACACCATAAATTAGAATTTTTGCCTAAAGCAAGGCAGTTGATTTGTAATATAGCATAAAGTTTACAACAGGTTTTCACAAGCAAGGGGCTGATCAAATCATAGATAGGGGTGCTCATAACAAAGAAGAATTCTCTTCTATCTCACCCCACACAATGATCGCCGACAATCAATGAGTGAGTACTAGCATGGAGCAGTGCCATATGCCCATCTGTATGCCCCTGAATTAAAGTAAATAAATAAACAAAAAAAAATGTTATTTTCAAACTGCATAGTAGATTAATTTCAGAAGTTATATCAAATAGAAAGACTGAATCAGTAAAACTCTATATCATTAGTTGTAAATATTGAAACCAAAACCTACAGTATGCTTTTTTTACCTAAGAAAGCATAAAGCATTGGTACCAACGTTTCAGCAAGGATATCAAGATTACCAAACAGTTAATAACTCATTAGAATAATGGAAAAATAATAAGCTTAAGAATATCTGAGAACAAGTGGCTTTTACTGGTTAAAATCAAAGATTGAACTTCTGCAAGAGAAAAAAAAGGGAATGTAGTGAGGTTCATCACTCTATTCCAATTCCTTTCATAATATGATTTTATTTAGAATAAGAAAGTCAAGTGAGAAATACCGGAGAAAAAACGGCAATCAATCGCTGTCCACCAATGCAAATCTCTTCAGTTCCAGAAATTGCAGTGAAGCCAAGAGACCAGTCATCTGTCGTCATATATTACCATAAAATTAGGAAGTACATTTTATATGGAGACCTTAAGAAGAGCAGAACAAACAGCCCAAAGTAATAAAATAGTAAACTAGAAGGTAATAGCAACTCATATCCCTAATCTCATATAAAGGATCCATCTTCCATCTTACTAAAAGATTACCCGTCATTCTACCTTTTTAATTTAAAAACTTTATTGATGTACAATCCGAAATTGTAAAAGAGGACAGACACTAGGATATCAAGCGCTTTGAAATAAAGGTCTTTCCTCTTCATCTAAAGTTAGTTTCAAAATTGACCTCATCTAGAAATCACAGTAAAATGTGGTACAATCACAAAATTGAGCTAAGCTCCTCATTACTAGACTTCTCAGTCGCTGGAAACACAAAGTGTTAAGATAACAACCTTTTCCAATGCGTCGCATGGTATTTTCGTGTGCTAATAAAGTAGCATCAGGATTGCAACGCTGAATAACTGAAAGACCTGGAAACATTAAAAAGACCAAATGTCTACGTATCAATTTAGTTTGACCAAACACAAAAGTTAAATAAAAAAATGACCTATCATATTTTGTCTAGTTTTACCAAAAAACTTACCATCCACATGATCGTGATGATGATGAGTAACAAAGACAACTAACTTTCTTGGCAATGAAGTTACAATTTGTGCGAGCTGAATGTATAAAGTATAAAACAAGTTACCACGAGCTTCAATAAATAGCTAAAACTAAACCATACTACAGAGGTAGCAGAGCAAACTATCATGTCTTACCTCTTCATGGAATTCAGACCGGCATCCAGGGTCCATTATCAATGCATCTCCACAAGCAATAAAATCATCCTTTACAGATTCATTTGAAGCATTTTTGGGTGCAAAAACAATCAGATTTGTTGTATAAAAAGGTTTTCCTGTCCTGCTTCCCATAGGTACAAGCACAACACCAGGAGGGTACTCCTGCAATCACGACAATCTTTACTCCGGGGGAACACAATAGTACAAAGCATATAATGGAAATAAATAAGGGAGTTAATAAGACCGAAAACACACGGCAAACCTGGTAAGGTAAGGTGGATGGAATGTTCTGTAAAACTTACAAACACTCACAGTCTCACTTCAATTGCCTTACCAATCAGTGATTGGCTGCAAGTATTTATAATGCATTCCAGATTACATCAGGGAACTGAAATCCCTATTTACAAGGAGATTTGAAAATCAAAGATACAACAGAAAGATCAAACTTGGATTTACACGGAAAGGAATATCTGAAAGAGTCTTAACCTAAACTAACTCTTGTGGGATAACAGTTGGACTTGATCACAAACTCTTGAAACTGCACACGGACTATGACTTGGTCTAACATCCCCCCGCAAGTTGACAGGGGGAGATACAACTGGAAGCTTGGATACTAGAAATTTGAAACGCATAGCAGACAAGCCTTTAGTGAACAAATCAGCTGTCTGATCTTGGGAACAAATATAATTCACCATTAGCTGACCACGAACCACCTTCTCACGTACATAATGATAATCAACTTCTAAATGCTTCGTTCTCGAATGAAATACTGGATTCGAAGCTAAGGCAATGGATGATATATTGTCACACCAAATAGTTGGACAGCCAAGATGTAACTGTAAATCACGAAAAAGAGACCGTAGCCATGACAGTTCCGCAGCGGTGTAAGCCAGCTGCCTGTACTCAGCTTCGAAACTCGAGCGAGACACCGTTTTTTGTTTCTTAGAACTCCAGGACACAAGATTGGAGCCGAAGTAAATGCAGAAACCACCAGTGGAATGCCGAGTGTCAGGATTCCCAGCATAATCAGCATCTGAAAATGTCGTGAGATGTGTATTACCAGGTTTGTACAGAAGACCATGATTGTACGTGGCCTTAACATAACGAAGGATCCTCTTGACTGCCGTCCAATGTGTAGTCCTTGGAGAGTGCATGAACTGACATACCTGGTTCACAGCATACGAAAGATCGGGTCTGGTGATGGTAAGATATTGTAGTGCGCCAACAACACTTCGATATAAGTCTGGACTGTCATGTGCCTCACCATCATAAGCACTTAATTTCTGGCCACAAGAAACTGGAGTGGAAATCGGTTTGCCATCTAAGAACTTGGTACGCTGCAATAAATCCAACGCATACTTAGCTTGACTCAAATGCATCTGATCAGCCACATATTTGACTTCAACTCCGAGAAAATAATGTAATGGACCCAAATCCTTCATGGAAAACAAAGTTCCCAGCTTGTTGATTAAGCAAGTCATTTGCCGTGAGCTATTTCCTGTTAACAAAATATCGTCCACATATATCAAAAGAATCAAGTAAACACCTCTGTGATTATAAACAAACAAACTATAATCACAAGTGGATGCTTGAAACCCTAATTGAAGCAAAAATTCCGAGAACCTATGAAACCAAGCTCGAGGAGCTTGTTTCAAGCCATAGATACTCCTTTGCAATTTGCAAACATAATTAGGATACTGCGGATCAACAAAACCGGCAGGTTGCCGCATATACACATCCTCATTCAAAAATCCATGCAAGAACGCATTATGTACATCCAACTGTCTGATGGGCCATCGTTGTGAAACCGCAAGACTAAGAACAAGCCTTATCGTACTGTGCTTCACCACAGGACTAAAAGTTTCTGTATAGTCAATGCCAGGCTTCTGATGAAAGCCATTTGCAACAAGCCGCGCCTTATGTCGTTCAACCGAGCCATCTGCACGTTGTTTAAGCTTGAAAACCCATTTGTTAGGCAACAAATTCATTCGTGAATGATACGGAACAAGCTTCCAGGTACCACACCGCTGTAAGGCATTGAACTCTTGAACCATGGCAGTCCTCCATTCCTGATTCTTGATGGCCTGACTAAAACAGGTTGGTTCAACAAGAGAAGGATTAATATTAACATGCAAGGCATATTTGGGATTACGCTTTTGAATGCCAGATTGTGAACGAGTAGTCATTCTTGCAGGTGGCACAGACTGTTGGGTGGAGGAAGTAGGACCGTGATCATCAACTGACACGGATTGGTTCATTTCAGGAAATGGTACCGCCTCTTGCTCATTTGAAGATGAGTTGGTAGACCTAGAGGTTTGTAAAGGCATTGGGGCTGGTGTGCCACGAGGAGCAGGTAAACTAGAGGTTGGGATGAGGTTATGTGAATGAGGAACATCAGAAGATATGGGATTTGGTTGAGGTAGGACCTGTGAAGGCTGTCGAGGAAGGAACAAATTGGACTGTGGTGATGGAGATAAAAGCGGAAACGTAAATAATAAGTCAGGGGAAGTCATACTACCTGTGTATCCAACGCTCCCCAGGGAAGATGTGAGTTCCTTAAATGGAAAAGTGTCCTCATCGAATAGGACATGGCGAGACAAATATATTCGTCTTGTGGACAAATCTAAGCATTTGTACCCTTGATGATTCAGTGAGTAACCTAAAAACACACATGGTTTTGACTTTTGTTGGAGTTTATTTTGTGCGTAAGGCACTAACCAAGGATAACATTGACAACCAAACACTTTAAGAGTTTCATATTTTGGAATTTTGGCATACAATTGTTCATAGGGAGATTTGTGAGACAAGGCACGACTTGGCAACCTATTAATTAGATAAGTAGCTGTTAAACAAGCATCGACCCAATATTTATTTGGAATATGTGCATGAGAAAGCATGACAATACTGGTCTCAACAATGTGACGATGTTTTCTTTCGGCAATACCATTTTGTTCAGGATGTTTTGGACACGAAAATCTTTGGGAAATGCCATGAGTGGCAAGATATGTTTGAAAGACATGACTTTTATACTCACCACCTTCATCACATTGAAGAGTTTTGATAGAACTGTGAAACATATTTTCAACCTGTGCTTTGAACTTCACAAAAATGTCAAATACCTCACATTTAGTTTTCATTGGAAAAACCCAAGAATACCGAGAATAATCATCCACAAATAACACATAATAGCGAAAACCTTCAACTAAATTAACGGGAGAACACCAAACATCAGAATGCAAAAGTTGTAAAGGAAACTGGGAAACAGACTCCGAGCTACTGAAAGGTAATTTAGTACTCTTGCCTAAGGGACATGACTGACAAAACTTGACATTGGAAGCACCAAGAATTGGTACTTTCTTATTTGAAATTAAAAACTGGACAATAGACGAGGCAGGATGCCCAAGGCGTGAATGCCATTTCTGAGCCGAGACTCGAATGCCTACACACACTGAAATAGGATAATTAAACTGTCCACCGCCACCTGAAAATGGGTATAAGCCATTCTCACATCTCCCGTGGAAAAACGTCTTCTGGGTCTTGAGGTCCTTGACAAGGAAAAAATGAGGGAAAATAAGTATATAGCAATGATTGTCTAGGGTAAATCTGTGGGCAGAAATAATATGTGTGGAGGCAGTGGGACATCTTAGGATATTTTTCAATTCAAATGAGCAAGATTTAGTTTGTAAAGTATTTGAACCAAGATGAGAAATAGAAATTCCAGAATCATTACCTACTCCACCCACATTCTCATTACCGTTATACTTTTTTGGATTAACCAAATTCTGAAGATCTGGAGTGACATGGGCATTGGCTCCAGTATCAAGCAGCCACTGGCCATTGTTTTGGCGGTTAAGAGTGATTGGAGAGGTGGCCATGGCAGTGAGGTTCTTGGCTGGGATCCTTCCTTCATACGCAGCATTCATTCTTTGGTAACAATCTAGGGCAGGATGCCCTTGTTTTCCACAAATTTGGCATACAATCCGTTCTCCTGCACTATTAAATTTTTCACCATTGCATGCAAAATTAGGGCGCACACTGTTAGTAAAATAATTGTTGCGGGGATTGACACGGCGCTGGTTTCCAGCAGCACCGCCGCGTCCAGCTAGAGCCATTCCTAGTCCATTTCCACGAGATCTTCCACCACGACCTCTGGTAGTGAAAAAGGCATTAACAGGAGCAGCCTCCAAGAGTGGAGCAGCTTGCTCAATCATCCTCCTCTCAGTTGTCAATAAGAGCGCCTCAAGCGTAGGGTACGTGATGGGAGTATCACGTGCCTGAGCAGCGTTCACTGTCATCTCAAAAGCAGGCCCAAGATTGTTCAAGATAATCTGGACAAGTTCATCATCATCCACAGGTTTGCCAGCTAGGGCAAGGTTATCAGATATAGCATTCATCTTATCAAGATAATCAGCAATCGACAAATCACCTTTTTTTGTTTGTATAAGTTCATTCCGCAAAAACAAGATGCGATTCTGGGACGTAGAGGCATACCGTTGCTCAAGAGCCTCCCAGGTAGCACGAGAGGTCCTCTTGCTGGCCACGACCGAGAGCACAGACGGCGTGAGCGAGCCATTAAACCAGCTGAGTATCATTTGATCGTACTGCACCCATGTTGTGTACTCAGGATTGGTAGTTGTACTCCCAGAAAGTTGTTTGGGAGGGCAAACAACCGACCCATCAACGTAACCCATCAGGTCCCGACTTTTGAGAACAGGTAAGATCTGAGCCAACCACAGAGGATAATTGGTACGATCCAGCTTAATATTCACCACTGTGGTCAAAGACGAGAAGGGGTTCATGGTGGAATTTGTGAGGTTGGAGGTTTGGGTTGCAGCACCATTGCTAGAATCGGCCATGGGAAAAAAAAACTGATCTGTGTCGTTAGACTGCTAGGGCTCGTATACCATGTAAAACTTACAAACACTCACAGTCTCACTTCAATTGCCTTACCAATCAGTGATTGGCTGCATGTATTTATAATGCATTCCAGATTACATCAGGGAACTGAAATCCCTATTTACAAGGAGATTTGAAAATCAAAGATACAACAGAAAGATCAAACTTGGATTTACACGGAAAGGAATATCTGAAAGAGTCTTAACCTAAACTAACTCTTGTGGGATAACAGTTGGACTTGATCACAAACTCTTGAAACTGCACACGGACTATGACTTGGTCTAACATGTTCATCTCTCTCGATTTCTCAGATTCATTTAGAAGACCGGCAACTATCAATGGCCCCACACGATCACTACTTGGTTTCACTTCAAGAAGCCAGCTTAGACAACTCGGGACAGACATCCATTTACACGATTCTGCATAAGTAAATCTAACATAAGCTGCATATATCTCACCAAAATATCATATCCATTACCATATATAATTCACACGAAGTACATTTACTTACTAAATTAAACAGAGTTAAAAAAGGGAAAACAAAGAAATGCTCAAGCGACAGTGATATGAGCAAACCTTGTAAATTTTGCTCCGGAGCTACCAATTTTCCCCTAATAAACACCGAATTGATGGGCGGCCCGGGTCCGAACCGAGCTTCCTCCACGTACTTGGACAACCTCCAATCTCCACCGTCAGCTGCCTTAGACCCTACTTGTTCCAGAACCTACTAAAGCAATACTTATAAGTATATAAAACCCTAAACCCAAAAATTACAATTCGACGATTTGAAACCACACGATACCTGGTTGAGAGCCGACTCGAAGTCGAATTTTGCCAAATCGATCTTCCCCGACCACGGTTCTGCGCCTGCCAGTGCAATCGAGGGCTTCGATTGTCCTTCTAGAAGGTTCAATTGGGAGGATGGCAAGTCCCAGAGGTCGGAATCGACGTACGAGTCGTACTCTTCGTCGTCGAACTTCGGCGGTCGCGTCTGTTTCACGAGGAGGAATTCGGCGCCGTTTTGAGGATTCTCGAGAATCACAGCTAGCTTGTGGTGCGCTGCCATTGCTAAGACTTGGAAGAATGCAACGGAAAGGTTGATGAAGGAGAAGAGCTTAGGATTTAAAATTCGCAGGTAGTTGTACTGAACAGCGGCACAACCGTCACGGGTTCTTTGAAGAAGTAGGTGGTGCGGGAACAGTGACGTTGATGTGACCGTTATTGGAGGTTTATGTCGTTGGAGTAGCCGCTCGATGGTGTTAAAACTCGAAAATATGACGGGTTGTGTGTTGGGCTTAATCTGTATTTAGCTAAGCCCACTTATAGATTGGGCTGCTGCTTGGGCCTTGACGCACCCCAATTCGTACGCGGCTGTTCTAAATAGTTCTTTCAGTATAATATTTTCGAACTCTCTTCTCTATTTAATGAAAAAGAAAAATTGTAGTAATAGTCGGCTAAAAAAAAAACTTATGTCTCCGACAAAAGAGAAAATTGTAATAATAGTTTCTCAATTTTAATCCATTTAGAACAATGATCCTTTAACTAAAAATTTGTGATCATTAGCCCCTTAATTTCTCAAAATGTGCAATTATGTTCATTTTCGTCACATCAGTTAGAACATTCATCAAAATAAGTCATGTTAAAATAATCAATCCTACGATTAGATTTTTAAGGGACTATTGCTCCAATTGTGTTAAATTGAGGATCATTTTTTCAATTGCGTTTAAAATGAGAGACCATTTATTCAATTAGGTGAAAGTTTAGATTTTTAAGGGACTATTGTTCCAATTGTGTTAAATTGAGGATCATTTTTTCAATTGCTTTTAAAATGAGAGACCATTTATTCAATTAGGTGAAAGTTTAGTGACCATTTCTACAATTTTCTCATTTAGTTTTCCATATTGGCCCATTCATTCAGCCTGAAGTACATGGTATGTGACTTATTTTGTTGAACGTTTCAATGGAATTAACGAAAAAGACAATATATGCACATTTTAATGAATTAAAGACCAATAATCATGCATTTTTAATTGAAAAACTATTACTTTAAAGCTAAAATTAAAGAAGCATTGTTAGAATTTTTGTCGACAAAAACAATCAAACTGCTGTAGAAGTACATAAGCTTACCGAACGATTGAAACCAGTTCTGAGAGCAACTCCAGCGTGGGAGCCTTCCCCCCAGGCTATTCACTATTCAATCCACCTGGTGAACAGTAATCGCCTTTTACATCTCCACCGTTACACTTCAATAGCCCTGGCAATAGGCAATAAAATATTAGTATTTTTATTTATTTATAAAATAATACAAAATAATTTTAATTGTAATTTCGGATAAGATTTTTAATCGTTCTCATTGTGCCACTTGTCATAAAATCCGAAAAGACAATTATTGGGGATGGATTTCCGATAAGATTTTTAATCGTATTTGTTGTGCCACGTGTCATTATCCGAAAATACAATTATTGGTGATAGATTTCTGATAAGATTATTAACCAATCATGTCGCATCACGTGTCATAATTTGTTTACAATCTTTGAAGATAGATTTCCATCAGATTTTTAACGAATGACGGCATGCCACGTGGCATTATCTACAACCTACTCCTTTCTGAATCCTCCATGTAATCCACCATCCATCCTCACAAATCTTACACCAATTTTCTCAAGATCTCTATCATTATTCATAGTTTCTGCTTCCTTCTTCACAAAAATCTCTATTATTATTCATAGTTTCTGCTTATTTCTTAAAATGTCTTCTTCTTCCTCAAGGATGATATGGGAACTCGATCAGGAAGAGGAAGAATTGTTTAACCAATCAGAAGGAATGTTCAATCTCCAGGTGGCAAAAAATGAGAGGGAAGATGACGAGGAGCATAGAAGGAGAGATGACGAAGCAAGAATGGGCAGAGCCTCACATTCCTGTCGAGTCATCCAAGCTGTGGCTCAGATCTGTAGGCCCAGCCGTTCTGGAAACCTTGATAGAAGCAGGCAACGATGAGGTACGGAACTCTTGGACAATTATTTTGTCCATAATAATGCATTCCCTGATACGTACTTTAGACGTCGTTTTATAATGGAACGACATTTGTTCAACAAAATCATGATTGTTATTTGTAACCATGATTCTTACTTTGTGCAAAATAATGATGTTTTTGGTGCTATGGGTCTCATTCCTCAACAAAAAATGACTGCTGCCTTACGGATACTTGCATATGGAGCATCTGCAGACCAAGTGGATGAGATAATGAAGATGGGGAAATCAACCATTCTTGAGTCTCTGATGAGGTTTTGCGGAGTAATCGAATTTATCTACACCGCAGAGCACTTCCGGAAACCTACAAACATGGACTTGCAAAGGCTTCTGAAGAAGGCCGAGATGCGTGGTTTTCCTGGGATGATTGGAAGCATTGATTGTATGCACTGGACGTGGAAAAATTGTCCAAGTGCATGTCAATGCGCTTATGGGGACAGAAAATGAGCAAAAAGTATCATTTTGGCGGCGGTGGCATTTTTGATACATGGATTTGGCACGCATTTTTCGGTGTTCCGAGAGCTCAAAATGACCTCAACGTCCTTGCCCAATCCCCAGTGTTCAACAATGTCCTGCAAGGAAAGGCACCAAAAGTCACGTATGAGGTCAACAGACATATGTACGACGGGCCATACTAGTAGCTGACGACATTTACCCAATGTGGTCAACATTTGTCAAAACAGTGACACGTACGCGAAGTGCAAAAGAAAAACACTTTGTAAGCTGTCAAAAGGGGTGCAGGAAAGATGTGGAGCGTTGTTTCGATATCTTCCAAGCTCGTTGGGCGATCGTCAGGGGTGTTGCCAGATTGTTTGATGTAGAGTTGCTTCGATCCATCATGATGACGTGCATCATTCTTCATAACATGATTGTGGAAGATGAGTACGATTATGAAGCCGTTGATAAATATGAGCTAGACACAATGAACAATTCAAGAACACATATATATTGTGCTCATGACGCCACCGATGAACCCGTGCAACATGAGCCATTACAAAGGGATGGACGTTACAATGAAAGGGTCATTCGATGACATACTGCATTTCAAATGTCAGACATGCACAATGCCCAGCAAATTGACTTGATAGAGCACCAGTGAGCATTGAAACAAGCTGAAGATAATTAAGTTCATTTAGTGTGTTTTTTTTATTATTTGGTATGTTTATGTAATTTTATTTGGTGTGTTTTATTATTTGATATGTTTATGTAATTTTATTCGGTGTGTTTTATTATTTGGTATGTTTATGTAATTTTTTTTAGTTCAGCTTTAGTGAGTTTTTTATTATTCGGTATGCTTATGTAATTTTATTTGGTGTGTTTTTGTCATTTGAATAAATATTCTCTTAGTATAAATAACTTACCTAATTCATTTGAATAAATATTCAATAAATTGGAAACAACATAAAGTACTATATTCAATAAATAATAAATTACAACCCAAAGTGATTGGAAAATTATGGGCTCCGATTACAAAAACTATTCTGTTCATCATCACTTAACCAATTTGTGGTGCTAGGATGATCTTCTCTTGTGGTGCTAGGACTATCTTGGCTTGCTCTCGCTTCTCTTGCACGCCTCATTCGCACCATGTCCGCTTTCTCTGACTTCCAAAAAAATTTAGAATTTGGAGACTTCCCTTCTAAAGGCGTGTTCATAATCTCACGATCTCATTGAGCCCGTCTTTCTTCTCTAACATGTTCCATTTCTTGCCTAAGTAGCTTTTTTTCTCTCTCATTAGCCTGAAATTCTCTCTTAATAGCTGCAGCTTTTGCGTTCTCTCTAGCCTTATCAGCCTCATATTTCGCCATTTCCCTCGCCAAAGTCAATTCACCTTGGCGAGTAAGTTCTTCCATGAACTTTGCATAATCATTCTTGGAAGCACTCCCTTTTCTTTTTGAAGCCTTCTTACCTTGAGGCCTAATTGGATAACAGGTCGAACCCGACGCTTGTTCAGGGAATGGCATTCGGGCACTTCTTATGCATCATCTTCATGAACATACGAGCCATAATCCGATAATCGGCTGTAGAGTATAGAGGGGTGTTGTTCATGAAAACTTCTGGACCGACAGACACAACTCTAAATTTAGGACAATCTTTGACAATATTCCAACATTCCCACGGTTGAATGATTTATTTTTGTTTTTGGTTTTGGCACCGTACCAAGCTTGTGTTTGAAGTTCCTACACAATACGGGAGAAGAAATAATTATAATGAAAATAGGTAACAAATAAATAATAAAAACAAATAATTATAATGTAAGTAGGTAACAAATAAATAATACAAACAAATAATTATAATGTAAATTTGGGTATAGTACAAACAAATAAATAATATATTGTTACCTGATCCGAGTAATTTTCGCCACTTCGAATATTAGTACTAACTTGTGCCAAGGCGTCTCTCCACGTACTAAACGATTGGCTAAGTAATTTCCAACGACTGGACATCGATTCTTTGGTTATTTTCCCACCAATTTTCTCAAGATAATTGGTATGAATAAGACTCCACATTTCTCGTAACTGCATATCATTACCCGTAAGCGAACTATGAGTAACTTCAAACCAGCTAGTACACAACGCAACATCTTCAAGAAGCGACCAATTCGTACCTGCATCAGTAGTCATTTTGTTGAAAAAAAAAATGGATTGAAACTTTGAGAGAAAGAAAGGAATGTGATTGAAAGTAGTTGAGAAAATATGAAATTGTGGTGTAAGGCAGATGATAATGAGAAGGTATTTATAGAAAAGTAAAAACAATTTTTTTTTAAAAAAAATTCAGATTTTTTTTTGAATTTTTTACAATTTTTTTTTTTGAATTTTTATTCAACTAATTAATCTCTGCCGTTGGATATAAAAAAAATTTGAATTCCAACACTCCAGATTGTGCTACGTGTCACAACGGTAACTTTTCTTAATTTTAAAACTATTTTTTATTTTTTTTATTTATTTATTTATAAAGCATATTAATATCGACCGTTGATCTCAGATCGAACGGTGGATATTAAATAAGACTTTTTTTTTAAATTTTTTTTACCGTTGAGATCGAACGGTCCAAGTTAAAGAGTTGTTAAGATCGAATGGACCATGGGAAGCCACATGGCTTCCTAACGGTAACATTTGAATCTGAAAAAGTGGGCTGTTTTTTTGAAACTGTGTTGACAACGTGCCCCCATGAGCGAGTGG